AATCTGTGTGTTTGCCCCACTACCAGGATATTTCCGAGCCTTGGTCCAGAATATCTAATTGACACAGACCAGAAGGAATTCCATACTCTTTATCAGCTCGGTGACAGCTTGTTGTCAGTGAAAACAAATTGTCCTCTCGGAATGTCCTTGAGGTACGACAATTAATCACAGCATTAATAACATTTTCGCCAGCTGGAGCAGAAGAAAATGCCAGGCGACTGCGTAAGCATGGAAAATCACTCAAAATTAATGCAAAATTCTAAGAAATTAAATGCCGTTTATGAATACTAGGCGTATACGCAATGCCGGAAATTAAACATACGCTATGCGGCAGCAGAAGGATTGTGGGGCCCCAGCTTAAAGCGGAAGTTAATTGTTATTCAGAAAACATAATACGAAAAGCGGAGCCCGAGAAGAAGGAGCCTCTGGGCGTCTGCTGCCAAGTCCTGCCCAAGATGATGCAGAGCATAACAAAAACTTTAATATTTAAATATGAAAAACTATTTATGTAAGACGCATAAACAAAGCATGCAGACACACACAAACACACACACAGCCCGCTCTGGTCAAACACAAGCAAAAGCAAACACCAAATGTAAATTATGAAATTGACACTACAAAAGGGATGGGCTAGCAGATGCCCTGAAGAGTATTTTATATAAGGAAATTACAAGAATTTTAAATTTAAAAGATAAGCTTAAGACAACTACATATTATAGTTTAATGCATTTAGTTAACTTGAGCTAATTCACTGATTCAACTAATTCAAAGATTGATATTAGAATCTCTCCCTTTGATCCTTAAACCAAACTACCCTTTAATGCCCTATCCCTAAGCTAAGCCAGACCCATAGCTTCTGCTCGTCCCTCGTTCTTGCTCCCTTCAGTTCAGACGAATGCAAAATTTCCCTTCCGCAGGCTGCAATGAGGAACGCCTCGTCCTTTCAGCAGGGTCGCATCTTTTTGGTGGCCGCAGCGCGATGCGAAAATTTTAATTTATACATTTTCATCTGCGCCTGTGTGTGTGTGTGTGCGTGTGACTTCCTGTTGCAAAATGGAGTTTTGTGTATGCGAGCGAGCAGAAGTTTGCACAACTTGTTTATGATTTCTCATGTCAAATACGCTGCAAAAGTGCCTCGGAGAGGGCGTGTCTGCAGATGCAGTTGAAATAAGTATCTACAAGTTCGGGCCTCTATTTCGCACTAGAGAACTTTGTGATTTACTATCCGGTTGTGAGTGTGTATACGCGGGAGAGTGTGTGTGTGTGTGTGAGAATGCTTTAAGGCGCCGGAAGTGCAGCTTATAGAGCCATTTTCTGAGGGAAGTTTCAACAAGGGCTAAATGAAAATATAACTTGTTTATTTTCAATTTAAATGGAGAATATCAATATTAGTTTTAAATATTTTGTTTAAAAAGCAACACGTTTGATTTTTTGCCTTCAATGTCTGCAGAAATGAATACGTTTAAAGTCTAGACAGTCATCCATTTAATATGACACCATCACCCTGTTTTTTCATCTCTTTAAAGTGCGGATGCTCTTTGCCAGACAGACAGGGCTGCAACTCCAAACCAGAAAGTTTTTACGATTGCTTTTTTTTTTTTTTTGTTTGCATTAAATGCACTTTATGCAGGGAAATCTTTTTATGCGCCTGAGAGCACGCTTCAGAATAATTTGCGGTCATGTTCATTGATCTCCTGGGAAGCATTAAAATTTAATGATTTATACTATGTTGCATGGAGTCGGGCCCGGAGCCTGCGAAGGGGAAAACGCGACGCCCCGAGGCCCAGGGGCAGGGAGAATGAATTTATGTTATGTCTCCGCTGCTATTTCGGTTTAAGGGTTAACATTGCGAAATTAACAACAATTTGACTTATGCGCGGGGGAGGAGGACTCACACACACGCACTCGCACACGCACACTCATGTGGGCCGGAGAACAATGTCTGAAGCCTAAAAGTATGCTAAACAGCCAGCAAAAGTCATAACTCAGCCCCGCTGCCAGGATTTGGGGCCAAGGGAACTTGGCGAAAGGTGGAAATGTGGGCTGCAACTATTAATCAGGCTTTAATTGTTTTTGTGTGCGTCGGTCGGTTACATTTGTGGTGCCAGATAGGCCAAGACACACACACACACACACAGCCCCTCTCGTAGGGATCCTCGCTGTGGGTCTGTGAGCCTTCCCCCCATTGCCGGAGGCCCCATGCATCATGTGGCCGAAATCTTTTTGTAATCTCTGGCATTTGTCTGGATTTTTCGCAAAGACTTTGAATAGATTTATGCTCCTTTGACAGGCACAAGATGTGAATGCGAATCTCTGCGAGAGGAGAAGTCTTGCATGTGAGTATGGGCAAGCTTAAAGTATCTTAAAGATACGCCACTACCAGCCAAGTAGCCGTGAGGGACATTTATAAAGCTCCAAAGGAGAGAACCTAGTTGGTGTGTCTCTAAAAAATAGATTGAGAAAAAGTAGAGGAAGTGAGTAAGAAATGATGTTTCAAATTTAAGCATTTCAAATTTATTCAATTCACTAATTTTAATTTACAACTACGCTTTGTTTCTATTATTTTCCAACCCCTTTAATAATTTAACATAGCTCCAAGATAATAAAATCTTTATAAAGTTGTAGTTCCAAAAGATTCCTTATAAGGACCTAATTGAACTCTATTGCCCGCATAATGGTTAACAAAGCAGACACCTGTAAATTTTCGACCACCTCGTCCTTCAGCTTGGCCATTTTTTTCACCTGCTTTGCTGCCGGCTAACCGCCTGCTTCTTTTCCCTTTCGCGCTGTCTCTTATCATCGCCAGGGCATAAATCACGCGTTTAGTTTGCCAAGTGGCCTTTTCGACCGCTTTGCGTTTAACTGTCGTTTTGGCCACTTCCACGCCTTGCCCCGGCCGGCGACCGGCGAGGGCGAACCAACATATTTAGAATATATGGCAACACTTTGGCAACACCGACACAACCCTTGACCACAGCAAGTGCGGAATGTAAAAAATAAAGCCCGCCCGAACAGAGCACGGAGAGTCCGAAAACACAGACGATTGCGCAACCACAGCGCAAAAACCACTCCAAGTTTGGCACACACACACACTCATAGCCCGGTCCTGGGAGGAGAGTAGTTGTACTTCGGTCCTGTGTTGTCACTGCCAGTGTTGCCAGCGACCAGGACACAACAATGGCGAACAACAGGCCCTGCTGGTTGGCCACACAAACTTGTAACGTAAATTTTGTATAAGCCCTCGCCAACACACACCCTCGACCAGTTTCGGCATTTGGCATTAAGATCTGGGCAATGATATTTTTCAAATGGCAGCAGAAACCATATTTATTAAATTTTAAAGTCGTTTGATGAAAACATAAGTACAGGACTAAGGTATTACAATAACTGAAAAGGCAGGCATTTATTTATTTGATTTAATGAAGCAATGCTTTAAATTTATAATAAAAATGCTTCATTGAATTGCCATGGATTGTGTGTACTAACAATACCCAATACCCATCCATAAATTCCCCTAAAAATAGTTGAAGCTTTAAACAGTATTCTTTATTTTGCGATTGCCTAATCAGCCAAGCGACAAGTCTGACTGCCAAAAAATATATTCCTGTGTGCATCGAATTGTACAATTGTCTCGATTTCTGTTTGTCTGCCAAAATGCCGAACTATGGACGGCCTTCATGTTTACATTAGTATTATTGTTTATCAAACAACAACAGGAACAGCCAGAACAACAACCATAATAGAGAAGTTGTTAAATCGAAAAGACATAAAAGTATCATTAAACTTTCGTGTCTGGCAATTGGTTTGGTTTGCTTAGGGTTTGGCTGGAATTTGGCTGCTGTTTTTATGATTTTATTCAACGTTTTTATCTGGTGTCTTTCGGCTTGGCAGACACAAAATTCACATTCTCATATATTTTGTTTAGTTGCCTGTTTGCCAAAAATCTCTGTCTGTCTGTCTGTCTGTCTGCCGCTCTGATTATTTATGCACAGAAAACAAATACGATGTGCCGACAGAAAGGACAACCAAGTCAGGAGCCTCTCCTAGCTCGGGCTTCGATTGTTTTCACTTTTCTGTTACGATTTTCGCCATCAAAAATTTATTGATATTTGTTGATGGATTATACGAGTTATGCCGACAGAATCTGTTGATTGAATAAAAACCCATTCTCTGAAATATTTATTTAAAAACAATGCATCAGCTTCAAATTGAATTCATTACCGAAAAATTCGGCAACATCCTCCGAGCCTTCACTTGACTTTAGAACACACATGTTTGGGAGGAACATGACACGCCTCCATGCTGCAAGGATTGAGCTCATTACTTTTCGACTTCAAAATATGCAAACAAGGCAGAACACGCCACACAGGAGCTCGAACTAGTCCGTCCGGACAGCAAAAAACACAATGGCGCAAAAATAAACTAGGCTGCAATGAAGCGTTTAATACTCTTCTAGCGCTGAAAATAAGCCCCAAGATGTTTGTTCTGGAAAACAGTTTATGATTAATTATGTATGGGAACAAACAGACCGGTTTAATCTCAACAATCCTCGCAGTAAATCGATTTACTTAGACGAATATGTATGTATTTATAAGGTCATGGCATCCCGATTAAGTCTAGAGTACCTGCAAGCATTTAAGGATAAGCCGTAAATATATTCACAAGGGGTTAGGTGGTTGGCAGTTGGGGGCGTCGTGAGACTAGCGAAACAATGGAGCTCATCAGCAGGAACAGGAACGCATTGAAAATTGGAAAATCCTTTCAATGGAAAAATGTTTTCTGCACAAGTGCCCAACACACACGCACAGGCAATGAGAATGGGAATGGGAATGGGTGTCAATGGAATCCTTGATTTAACCCATGTACCAACATGCTGACAGGGATTTAACCGCACTAGAAGTCAGAGTCGATATTGAGGTGGAAAGTCTTGGCAAAATATTAAACTAAAATATCCCTGATAGAAGAATAATTAATCGTACAAATGCTGCTTTTAGCATTTATTTAATAACACAATGTATTGTCAACGTAAAGCAACTAGCGCATTTTTTACTAACGAATAACCGGCTCTCCGTCCAGTTTCTTGAGGTTGGGCAGACGGCGAATTGCCTCGGAGGCAAACAAAGCCGGCTCCATATTCTCGCTAAGGATATTGCCCACAAAACAGATTTCTGAGAGGTTCGGGGGAATCGCCATACGATTGAACTCCGCCCAGTCCTTGATCACATTGTGCGAAATGTAGAACACCTTCAGGGCCTTCATCGCCTCTAGGGGCTTGATCTTCTCGATATTGTTGTAGCTGACCCAAAGCTCCTCCAGGGTTTCGGCCAGCGGCTCAATGCCATTCAGCGTTTTTAGGTTGTTTCGCGCCAGGCTCAGGACGCGCAGGTTCTTCATGCCCGAGATGCCGGAAATCTTCTCGATCATGTTCGAGGAGAGGCTCAACTTCTGGCACTCGGTTAGGCTGTTTAGGATCGGATCCATCTTCTCGATCGGCGGGTACTGGAACTGGAGACCAATGTCAGTGGCCGTTGCGACCGGCTGCTTGTTGCGATCCTCCCACTTGGCCAGGGCATCCTTGATGCTGGTGGGCTTCGACATCCTAGTATCGCTGGATATCTCCCTCTCTGGGCTTTTGTGATGTTTGAATGAAAATGAAAATATTATTGGGAACTTAAATGAGAGGCTCCTGTCACCTAAGCACCTAATTCCAAGGTCTCCTTATTATATTATTCTGATTTTATTGTAGAGAAACAATAAGTTATGATTCAAAATACCAATCAATATGATTTTCGTGGGAAACAACAACATCGCACACAAAATATTTTGTTTGGCTTTATACATTTATTATTTATTAATATTAATCCTCAGTTTAACAAGAGCCAAGAGCTCTTAAAGCTATTCGAACTTAAGCTTTAAGGTCGGTGCCTGTGACTTTAAAAATATTTCTAGTCAATGGCTGATGAGACCACGGCACCTGTGTGGGCTAAGAAGATGACTTGCGGCCCCCGGGTAATTTATTTATTTGCGCATGTGCCCGCTGCTCCCCATTCGCTGGCTGAATCGCCCGTCTGGCGCACAGTGATAACTCCATTGGCCGGGGCCTTTGTTCTGGCCTGGGCTTGGGTCCTGGGCCTGGTACTCGTTCTGGAATCGAGGGGCTCTGGCTCCCATTGTCATATGCTACCCTTCGCCTACTTTGTTGCCGTTTTGTGTCATGGTGGGCGGGGGACAGAACTGCTTTGTGTCAGAGGCCTCTTCGGCACTTTATTACACACATTTGAGGTGATAATACAGTTCACATTTAGCCCCGAGGGGTTCGCTTTTTTGCCGGCGAGTCGGCTGCCGTTTGTCAAACAATTTTCCATTGGGTTTGTTTTTTATTGGGCATTTTTGGGGCCGCCTTTAAATTGTAGCGTTTTGATTAAATATTTGCAGCAGCTGTTATCGCATATACAGCCAGTTATTTTTGGGGGCAATAAATTATTGAATTTATTTTTCCAAAATGGCGGCAAAGAGAAAAATTTTTAAAATTGGGCCACCGCTTTTCGTTATTTTCCTTGATAATCGTCCAGAAATTGGTAAAAACATATTTGCTGCCTTTTCCTATTTTCAGTTTTTCCTCTTTCATTCTTCTTTTTTTTTGTAATGCAAATAGAATTTGTGATCCTATAAATCGAGTGCTCAATGCGGCAGAACTGACGCCCCAAGAACCGAGAGCTGGAAAGGGCGGCGACGGCGGAGGAGATGGAAAATGATTCGCAATTGCATGCAAAGTCTAATTTATGAATTGGCCGGAGGCACACCAGCGATGAGAGGTGTTCGGATGAGTGGGTATCGGTGTTTGGCAAGTGGAACATGTCAGTGGCGAGGGCGTGGCCACAGGCCAGCTGTCAGGGCAAAGCCAAAAAAATGACCAGAAAAGTTGGCCAACCGGGCAGCCGGCAATTTTTATAAAAGTATTTGCGATAAAGTTTCATAAAAAAGGCATGGCTGAAAAGTGTCAAGCTGTCATAGCCAAGATTGTTGGGATCCCAAGGCAGATCAACGTATTTTCACGCGTATGTTTTAGAATTCTACTGATCAAGACTAAAACATTGATATTTTAACTTGCAACCGTTTAATTCTAGCATTACTGAAACGTTTCTAAACAATTAAGAACGGGCAGAAAAGTGGCCTCACATGGATCCCTGCCCCATCACGGAGAAAAATAACCAAATGGGGGTGTGTGGTAGCCCCAGTAGCCAGTGGCCACAACATGTCCTGTCATTCCAGCGCCGAGCTGTGGGTAATGGCCATGCGGTAAATGTTCCAGTTGTTGACAGCCATGTTTGTACTGTTTAGTTTCAGTTAACAAGATGACACACAGAGGAGGGAGGTACTAGCCAAATGGCTATAAATATATTTTATAAAATAAATAATAATATTATTGGCAAACTCTTTAAAGAAAACCAAAACCTTGTTTAGCTAAATTTTTACTTAACCCTGGTCACGCCTTCCCTTAAAGTTGACAAAGCTAACATTTAATTCGCATAAGTTTATGGACATTGTTAAGTTTTCGCCAAGTCACTGTTCCGAGAGCGGCAAAAGTCTGCCAAGGACACCTACTTCTTGCTTGTTAGTCCTGTTTGTGTTCTTCGTGACGCAAAACTTTTATCTATGAAAATATTTTTTTGCATAAAACACCTGGCCACACTCAGACCGATATCGGGTTGGGGTAAAAGGGGCGGGTACTGCGGCACTGAAGCTTTTGCATATTGAAAACTTTTGCATTGGACAAACAACATGGTAGAGTATTGTCTGATAACAAGCGATGGAAGAGATAGATGGTTGCCTGGCTTCTACTTGTTGGCTGGTTACCCTTTTTCGAGGCAGCATGCGAAAGTTTTGTTCCAACTTGGCTAACATATTTTCCAAGCCATAAACAATATCTGTTAACTAATTACGGCCATCAATTTTGCTGGAAACTGGAGTAGTGGAAGCTAACCAATTACATAGATCTTGCATCGTCGGTAGCCAATAAGTGTCTGCGTTTTGAAGAATGAAGTGTTATTGCTCATTGTCCGAAATTCCAGAATGCGCAGCTATAAATTTGCCATGCACAGGCGGCGGTTTAATGAGTAATCAATAAAGCTGTTCGATTGGCATTCAAAGGCCTCCGCAGCGACAATAGACAAATATTGCCCCTCGTAATTATCAATTTCAAGTGCAGTCATCGTACCCTTTGTTTGCAGCAATCATAAACGTCGGTCATTGCACTCAAAAGAAAATTTACTTACAATTCACTAACAAGAAATGCTGAAATGTGGAAAGTTTTTGTTAGGTATATAGCTTTTACTAACAACAAATAGTATATTTTCGGAAGCTCTAAGCAGTCTAAATAATTTCATTTATTCAGTTAAGACATTTAGCTTGGTTTCTCTTAGTGTGTCGACTGTCTTGGCCAAACGATAGAACCCTCTCCCCGCCTGAGCCCTGCTCCTCTTGAATCCTGATGACTCAACTGGAAGGACGGCTTGTCTATTTGTGGTTGTGTAACTCAAAACTCGATTGCAATTGCATGTGTGTGCAGCGGCGGGCGGACTTGTGGTGCGGTGAGACGTGAAATTTCGGCATCTCCCCGGCAGCAATGTTGTATTGATTGGGGAGTTAGGACCCTACAGAGTGGGCCAGATGGAGTCGAGAACTGCAGCGAATCGCTATTCCGGAGAAAGAGCAGAGCCCTGCAGATTTCAGCCTTCAATTAGTGTGTTTGTTTGCTGCTGTGATACGAAGCTCCCCATAAAGCCAGGATAATACCGACAGAAACCCGATAGTCGTATGAAAGGGCATGAGCAAGATTAATGCGAATAATCCATACGGTTACTATATTAAATATGATATTATCTGGCAGTCTAATGAGGGGTTTCATAAGTTATCGAATTCATAGGCTGGTGGATATGCATTTCAATGTAATAATTGCTTTAAACTTTGCCTTAATTTTGAGTGCTTATGAAACTTGAAGTACTCATGGCAAACCATCAACAAAATAACCCAACTGAGCCCTAGGATAGGTATAAGTATTTTGTATTTGTGTAAGATCATTAACTGAATACTACCTTGTAATTCTACTAATTTAACGAAATTATTATTTTCCTGGCTCTTTGGGGGAAGAGCAATTGCATCTGCAAGATATAACCCAAATTCATCTCGCTCTTGCTAATTTGATTACGGCTATAAGGAGATAAGGATAAGGAGAATAGGGCAGGACAAATCTTAGGGCACCCGGAGAGAACAGCAGGACATGACTTGTGTGATGTGTGGAAATGCGGCAAGGCAAACATTTTATAATTTGCTGCAGCACGACGCATCGCATAAGTCAGCAGCAGCAGTCCTAGGCCAAGGAGCTACGGAGGGGTCACTGGGCTGCGATGAGGACCCTTACTGCCCGAATCCTGCAGCACATGAGACAGGAGCGAAGGGAGACGAGGGACTGGCGCATTCAGCAGGCTGCATGCGAACTTTGTTCCGGCGACTCGCCGCAAATGGCAAATGATTTTGCAGCTGACAGTTGTCCGTTGCCATTTGGGGAATTTAGTGTTAATTATGGTCGTAATAAGTTATATAACATCAGGCAGCAAGCCCCAGTCCAGTAGGCTTCCCTGCTCCTCCCGGAGATGTCACAGCCCGACAGTCTGTCAGTCAGCCTGCCTGCCAAGTGAAATAGTATCTATCCACAGGCCACACGAAATTGTATTAAATGCAGTGTGTTTAGGTAGGTCAGCCGACCGTTGATCGTTTGTCCAAAAGGACTCGCTACTACATGAGGTCCTTGCTCCAGAATTGCAGCTTTTTGACCCCTAATAAATTGTCGGGATCTAAGTTTATGTTTTTTAATTTATTATTTACTCTTAGTATATATTTTATATTAATGTAAAAGCTGTAGTAAAAACTTCAATATGGAAAAGGTTGCCAAAAACAAGAAGTAAGACTCAGGACTAATAACGAAAACTACTCACAACGAACTGCAGTTGTCGAAATGGGTTGAAAAACATTCTCCAAGTGCTCTTTAATTGCATCTTTTCATGGCTTACGAATATAAAAGTCGTTCTCCTTTGGCCCTGGCACCCTGCCACCGCAATTACATGCAACTGTCTTCCACTTAGCTGCTTAAATTTACATGTTTAATGCCCGCCCCCATCGTCATCAGGGACCCCTTCAGAAGTTGAGACACTCAAGACCTTTACGCAAATCGCTTGATAATTACTTAAAATAATCTGCAGACGAGTAACCACAGGCGAATGCAGCTGGGCCCAGGACGAGGACGAGGACGAGGACCACGCCCACGCAGGCACGAGAATCTAAAAAGCCGAGCACACCGAACAGATACCGAGGGGATCCTGCGGGGAACACCACTGAAATGAGGAGTGTAAATAATTCCCCTAAAAAAGGCAAAGGCAGAGAGTCCTTTTCAATTTCCCAGGCACGTCTCGGCAGCCAGCAAAAACAACAATAGAAGGACAGTGTTCGCCTTCCCCTTTTTTATGTGTGGAAACTCGAAAAACAATTAAGCGACAAGTGTCTCAATTTCAACGTCACTTACAAACATTTTATGCACCGCTCTTTTGCTCTGTATTTGCTTGTGTGTGTGTGTGTGTGGGTACAGGACATGAAATGCAAAAGTTTTTACACATTGAAAGTTACGTGTCGAGGAGCAGGAGCA